CCTGTCTGGTCAGCGGGGCTCTAGGCTCATCCTTGGTCTTCGTCTGCTGGTTTTACAGACCAGCTGAACCCCAACCGCAGAGAAAACAAGACACGGTGGTGTGCAGTAGGCAAGAACGAGAAGAGCAAGTGTGACCTCTGGAGTGTGGTGAGCAACGGGGACGTGGAGTGCGTCGTGGCAGACAATACCAGGGACTGCATCATTAAGATCATGGTATGGCTTTTTTTTTCTCCCTGTGAACCTTCCAAACAGAGAGCAGCATTACTTCCTTCAGCCTGGGAATAGATGGGGTGGAGATAGGGAGCTTTGTGAGAAATACCAGGGGGTAGAAACCTACCTCATCATAGCGAACAGGGCTGACTAGCTTTTCATCTATTAACATTCTTTAAAAAAAAAAAAAATCATTGGAGACTGTTCTTTCTTGAGGTTTCCCAAATAAAAATCAATTTTCTGTTGTGAAGGAACTTTTTATTTGGAAAGGGAAGGTGAAATACAAATTTTGGAAAATGCAGAGGAAAACAGTTGCCTGCTTAGAAGAGGAGTGATTCTGTAGCACAGATGAGGATACTGGTGGCAGCTCAGGGGTTTGGGTCAGTACCACGAAGACAGCACAAAATGTGAACTTGCAAAGACAGGTGAGATAAGGACATCTGTTTGGCAGAGAAGCATGCTAGGAGAGGCACACCGCTGAGCCTCTGAGTGTCTGGGGAAGTGAGCTGCTGCTGGAGGTGGTTACAAGTGCAGGGGAGCATCAAAACTCCCCATTTGCATCAGAGGGGTCTCCTTCATAGGTTGACCCCCTGAGGAGAAAAAAAAAGATATGTAATTGCTAAAAAATTGCAGTATATCCCTCCCAAAGTATAGAGGTTATGACCATGCTGGGAATGCAAGCCAGGCCAGTTTCATGATCGATAAGTCTATTGTATTACAAGTCATTACCATGAATGACAATGTGACCTTGCCTGTCCATAAGCTAAGGGATGGCCTCTCGTGTCACCATAGCTCCATCTCCTTTACAGCGAGTGCTACTTTTACAATCTGATTTCTGAAAAGCTCTGGTCTGAGGACATACAGGGTTGTTTGATTGCTGCACTGTTTTCATTGCAGAAAGGTGAAGCAGATGCTATCAGCTTAGATGGAGGTTTTGTCTACACTGCTGGTGTGTGTGGCTTGGTGCCAGTGATGGGAGAAGTCTATGAGGGTAAGCACAGCCTGGGCTGCCCCTCTGGGTCTGGGTGGTGAGGAATGGGCTGGTGCAAAAGCACTGGTTTTGTTCTGCTTTTTTAATTTGCCATATCTTTTATGCAATATCTTTGTCTTCTTCCCTCCATCAGATGACAGTCAATGCAACAAAGCAGAAGGAGAACCAGGTAATTACTGCCAACAGAGGGATAGAAAACACTCCTGATGGATATAAGTAGAAAAATATATATGCAGTCAAGAGTAGAGAATAAATGGCCAGTTTCCACACAAACAGCCACTGTGTCCATGCAGATACTACAAATTTGGGAGACAAATTTAGTAGTCAAATGGAAAGCCTGGGTCTGCAAGCAGGTATCAAGGCAAAGCATACAGTAACAGCAGAGATTTGTGTTTAGCTCCTGCTATCTGGAGCACAGTCACACCATAACGATGTCAGGGCTGCGAACAGGGATAGAAGGTCTGGGTTGTGTCATTAGGAAATTGTTCTTTATAGAAATGGGAAGAGGGAGAGGAAGGAAGGTTTTAGTCCTTTGCTAAAGAGGGAAAAGGAAATCAAGAGGGGATAAGAAATCATCATGTATGTCTTGCTATAGCCTTTTTGCATACCCAAGTGTCAGAGTTTGGTGGGTGGAGAAAGCAGGAAATGTCAGGGATAATAGTTTCCCAGGAGCATGGTGGGAGAAGATGCATCACATCTACAAACTCTTCCATTGTCGCTGCCTGGCAAATCACTTATAAGCGCAAAGTATTTTTGCTACGCTGTTCATAGGTGCCCTCTCCCAAGTGGAGCCAATGCTTTCCTAAGGGATCCTTGGGTCAGTTCTTAATTCTTCTTTATTTTATCTTCTGAAAGCATCCTACTTTGCTGTGGCTGTTGTGAAGAAATCTGACGGTGATATCACATGGAACAATCTGCAGGGTAAGAAGTCATGCCACACTGCTGTTGGGAGAACTGCTGGTTGGAACATCCCCATGGGCTTGATTCACAACAGGACTGGGAGCTGCAATTTTGGTGAGTAGTGTTTTGTATCCATTCCTTCAAGCTTGGAATCTGCTTGCAAACATGTTTTCACATCCTTCATGTCACCTTCAAAGTTTCTTATGCCTCAAACATTCCCACCTGGAGGTGAGAAATGGAGAAGACTGTTATTTAAGGTTTCACTGAGCAAAGATTTAGGCAGTTGGTGACTGCTTCAGAGTAAGATATGGCATGTCAGCCGCTTTTGGGGGGTTTTGCTTTCTTTTCACATCTTTCCTCTTCCCTTTGCAGCAGCCCAAAAGGTATCGACAAAAAGGGGATACAGGCTGCCCCAAGTTGAGGGGTCCTGGTGCTTGTGCAGGGTGTGGAGTGGGGGTTAAGGATGAGTTTATAAAGCTCAGAAGGGAGGGGAAGGGCTGAGAACAGGGGACAGGGGCTGATTTTTGTTCAAGAAACTTAAAGGGACTGCCCTGACTGCCTGAGAATAAGGGAGTCAGAATCTGCATTGGCTCTGGGATTTTAGAGATTGTCTTCTACAATACAAGATCAACTTCTACATCTGACTTTCAATCAGTGAAAATTACAGTGAGCCCAACAAAAATAATTTGAATATATTATTGACCAAGGCACATTAAGCATACAGTTATTAAAATGAAATTTCTAACTGCAAGAAGATAGCGTCAGTAAGTTTTAGACTCAGCCCCTCCATCCTCCTGCCTGGCTTTCCCCATATATCTGGCAAATGCTGCAAAATGCAACTCTGATGACCCATAAAGGCTGTGGAGGCTTGGGCTGGCTCTGGGTGAGCTGAGAATGGTTTGCAGCAAAACCATTCTTCTTTTTCTGCCAAGATAGTGCCTATTGCAATGGAGCTTTAGGCCCCGCTTCATTATCAATAGTACTGGCACAAGTTTCATAGCGAAAACTGGATGCATGCAATTTGCTGCCCACTGGATCATGCTCCTTCTCAAAGCCTGTTTATAGCTCCGAGTGACCACTAATACAAATTCAGCACAATAATGTATTATTATAAGAAAATATAACTTTTCAGTGCAAGGAAAAGTTTTCCTGCTTTCAGATGAATACTTCAGTGAGGGCTGTGCTCCTGGGTCTCCTCCTAACTCCCGCCTCTGCCGACTCTGCAAGGGCTCAGGGAGGGTCCCGCCTGAGAAGTGCGTTGCCAGCAGCCATGAGAAATACTACGGATATACTGGCGCTTTCCGGTAGGTGGTGGAAACACTCAGGCTGCTCCCAAGTACCTTAGGGCTAATCACAGAAGTTACGGGTAGATCACATGCAGAGCACAGCCTCATGCTGATGCTAATTTCCTGACCTCCTCTTTTTCTCCATTGCACTGCTGAAGTATGTCTGTAGTATTATACATATCCTATATGGGATATTTTCTTTATACAGCTTCCTGCAAAATGACATAAAATGTTCCCATTCTATAAAACTAATGTCCTGGTGCCTCCATGCAAACCTGGAGGGACACAAACTTTTTGGCCAGACCTTCTACAATGGCAGCAGTGCTACACTTTTAACACATATAAGGAGTGTTAAAAGATGGGGACACACAAACAGTGCTGCCAGTAGACACTCCTTGTTTACAATACTGCTTGGCTTAGTTAAAATGAGCCATCCTCTAAAAAGTGCAGAGACCAGAGGTCAGCCCCCGAGTCACCAGAGTGCCATCTCTTCCCTACCTGTTCAGCATCAGGTTAAGTCTAAGTAATTCATATGGGGCATGAATTTAAAAAGAGAATGAATCTTTTTTCATTTACATCTAATAGCAAAGAGACCCTGCTTCAGGGTTTGCAATCTTTTTGGCGCAAGTTAGTGTTTTTACAAAGCTATTAATACGTGCAGGCAGGCATTGCAGAAAGCAAAGCAAATTCTGAACCTGGCCAAACTGCTTCTTTCTGACTATAAAATAAATTGGCTACTTATCGTGTGAGGAGGACACATATTTTTCTCCAGGAGTTAAAAGACTCATGTCCTTAAAATATTCCTGGCATGGCTCCTTGGACAGCTGTCCTTGGAGATTAATTTTACAAAATAAGACATAAGCCACAATAAAATCTGTAGGAAAGAGCCAGGATTCGAGCACCCACATCACTTGCTTTTCTTTGTACTTCCCAGGTGTCTGGTCGAGGAGGGGAATGTGGCCTTTATTAAGCATTCAATTGTCGAGGAAAACACTGATGGTACGTGGTTATTCTGTTGAATGGGTCTTGGCAGGACTGCCTTCCCCTGCCCTGCGTTATTTTTGTTCCCAGTGCAGAACGTAGTAGGAAGCTTTATCTGCTTGTCTTGTCAACCTCACCCCTCCCACAGGAGAGGCAGAATTCAAGTATCAGTCAAGCTTTCTGCCCAGGGTGGCTTTTCCCAGGCATTTTTGCAGGGACACTTTCCTGCTAGCTATCATTTAATTTCAGCTGCACAATTATTCAGGGGGTCCTGAATAACAACCATGGGCTCCTGCCTTGACACCTTTGTGCAGCACTCCAGCAGGAACAAATGCCTTACTTAGGTGTTGTGAGGCTGACGTTCTTCTGCTATATGAGATCTCTGAATCTCCAAACCAATTCTCTTTAAAGGCAAAAATAAAGAAGACTGGGCCAAAAATCTGAAAATGGACCAATTTGAATTGCTGTGCACTGACGGGAGACGGGCAAATATCATGGATTATAGGGACTGCCACCTGGCCAAAGTTCCGACCCATGGTGTAGTCACCCGTCCTGAGAAAGCTAAGAAAGTCCGTGAGCTGCTGGAGAGACAAGAGGTGAGTAATACTGGCAGCGGAGGAAGCATTCTGGGCTTGTTCTTACGCAGCATGTTTGCATTTTCAGAGCAATGAGTTTCCCCAAGTCAGCGCAAGGTAGATTTTAACTTACTGATACAAGGTGACAGCCTTGTCCCTCAACCTCCCCCTTCTTTCATCCCTTCCAAACCACTCTTTCTCCTCTACCACCTCAGTAAACATGCATTTAGGTAGCAGACGTACCATGGTGGTTGCTGTATCATGCTATACTCGTGTGACATGAGGTTTTATCACCTCCTTCTCAAGCTATGCTGTTGCAGGTGTGTTTCAGAAACTCCTCTGAGATGCCTGCTGGATCAGGCAGAGCCCTGAGAGGACAGAAGCCTTCCTGCACACACAGTGTCTTACAGCTACTGCTGTAAATGTAACCAGAATGAACAAGCTCTGATTTTACACTGAAAAGCTTAGTATTTCCTCTGCCATCAGGGCCTGCTCAGAGGCACTTGGGAAGTCAGCTCCTTTTCCAACTCATGGCTTAAGGCACAAGGACTTGCTGGCAGCATCTGCCCATGAGTTCTGCATGTAGTGACATGTTAAAATGGAAAAAAATTGTTTAAACAGTCCTGCCACAGCTGTGCCTACCACCGAGAGATCCCTCATCTAACCACACGAGCAGAATATCCAATGCCAAATCTTTGGAGCTTGGCTGGGGGATCCCCAGGGTGATGGTGACAAAGTAGGACTAAGAGCTAGCCTTGGAGAAGCTGGATCTTGCCAGCTTTCTATGTTTTACATATACTTACCTCTTTGTGCCTTTATTTCAGAAACTATTTGGAACAAAAGGAATTGAGAAAGAAAGGTTCAGTATGTTTCAGTCTCAAACCAAGGACCTTCTGTTTAAAGACTTGACCAAGTGTCTGGTCAAACTCCGCGATGGCATAACGTACAAGGAATTCCTTGGAGATCAGTACTATGCTTCAGTTTCTAGCCTCAACACCTGCAATCCATCAGGTAACTGTAACATCCCCAGGAAGAATTGCAGTTCTTAGCCTCTCAGGCACGGACAGTTTATTCCATAGATGTTAATTTAATTCTTTTTAAAGCAAAATGAGGATAAGTCATGAAGATGCCAGTATACTGTATTCAAAATTCCTTGAATGATCAGTCTGCTTCTCTGGCGCCAACAGGGGTCAAAGATTTTTACTCACCTTTAGAAAACAGACACTTTGAGAGATGGCAAAAAGAACCCACTCTGACCCATCAGCGTGTGCTCAGTACAATCTGTAGTTAATACACATGGGTTTTTTTGTGACACACTGGATGTATTATCCATGCAATGATGATGTTGGCATGGCAGGGTGTGGGCTGTTGGAATGGGGGGTGTTTAAAGGCAGGATCTGAACTTCTCCCTGCCCTTTCCCTTTTCAGATCTCCTCCAGGTGTGCACCTTCCTTGAGGACAAGCAGTGAGATGGGAAGGACCCCTGCTGGAGGGGGAGAAAACTTCAAGCAATGACTCCTCTTGTGCCCTCAGCATCCAACACTGACCTGCAGAGGGCTCTTTACCTTCACTGCTTTCTCTGCCCTTCCTCATCACTCTGAAAGTGGCTGTTGGAGACTTCACTGTTCTCTGCTGCCATCACAGCAAAAAATAAAATCTCAAATCTAAACAGGTTTCCTGAGATTTTTCAAAATGGTCTGTAAGCCCATTCCTTCCCCAGTACCTCTTGCCATAGGACAGTACCAAATATCAACATGGCTATTGCCACTTAAGGGCCCACTAGAGAAATTTGTTTCAGCGTTTGCCAAAGCAAAATGGATTAAATATGCCCTAAAGCCTAATGAACAACTCTTTTGTACTCTCTGTGCTTTTGCTTCACCTATCCCACTATCTCCCCAGCAGATGATAGTTGTCCTGTGTAGTTGAGACGCAGGAAGAGGAATAATGTTTCTGCTAGGGAAGTTGAAGGGTGAAAAAGTACCACATGTAGGTGGGCAGCCTGACTCCAATCCATGGTGAAAATAAAAAGGCAAGACAAAAAGGTCTGCTGAGGCTCTCTGCTTCAGAGGAACAGGTTCTGGGGTAATCTAGCTGGTCCCAACCCTTTTGTTAAGGCAGGCATAGAAGAGCTGCTGGTTTTGAAGGAATGAGTATTTTGACGGGCCCAAAGAAATGATTTTTGGATGCATATGGTATGTGCCGTGAGGAAGCCCACTAGCCTGAGTGAGATCACCTTGGAAGACAGAAATGTAGAGTTTGATGGGGAGCAATGAAATTTAGTTCCTCACATTTATGCCAGATGAAGTATACTGGACAAATGGCTTTTTTAACTAGCAAGAGATCCAGTGCCTCTGAGAGCCTGATTCTGCAACTACCTGGCTACAGTTGGAAAACTTGTCCCAAGAAAAGCTGCGTCATCTGTACTCTGTACCAGGTGTAACCTCTTGCCCCACGAGTAGAAGGCATGGAAAAAAGGAACCTCACTAGAGGACCACAGAGTCTCCAGTCCAACCTTCCACTCAAAGTAGGGTATCAACCCGGTTGCTCAGGGGTTGACACAGTCAAGCACTGAGAACCTCCAAGGATGGCGACTCTGTGACCTCTCTGAACAACCTGTCCCATAGCTTGACAGCCCAGAAGGGGTATGAGTTTCTCTCTAATACCCACTCTAAACATCTAGATTTAACGTATTTCCATTGCACCCCATCATGAAAAGCTTGGCTCCATCTTCCTACCCTACCCTGCCCTGCCTTTATCCGACTTGCCCCGCCTTACCCCTTTGCCCTACCTTACCCCCCCCTACCCTGCCCCGCCCTGCCTTGCCT